GTTCGAAAGACAAAGGGAACAAGTCATCAGTCAACCATCAGGGCTCCAACACTTCCATCCAGAAGTTTACAAAGCATGTTCTGTATAATAAGCTGCTGTTTTTAAGACTGTGTTCCAGGTAAAGCATGTTTAACTGAACTGACAATGTGTCTTTAACAAAAGAGTACTGTGACTTCTTTATAGCACTGCCTTGCACTTAACAGTCCTGCTGTGATGTTGTGCCATGCAGTGACTCATACCATTTCATTCTGATATCCGCTGATTACATTCCTTCCTAACCGTGATTTCAAGTGAGGGCCTGAGTGATTCACAAAGAAAACTTGTGTCAGTGTGGAGACTTGTATCTTCCAAATCAGTGAGAAAAACTCCCAGAAATCACCACTTCTCCCAAAATACAAACACAACTTAAACTTTACGTATGTGCTGTTGAAGGGAAACAGAGGCTGACAGAAGAGTGTTGTAAAACAAAACAACACCTTAAATCTGTTCGGCAAACCAAACAACAGTTATGACTAACCGGATATGTAGTAACCGGAGCCGTTATGCAACCTTTGTTGATTTTTCCTTTATGCAAGAATGTGAGGAGAAGAGCTCCAAATGTAGCTCTACTGCCCTTCTTCAAGGGAGTCTAAAGGGGAATAGGGGGACATATTTAACTAATATCACCATGAAACCCCCACAGCTCATTTGTATTTCTAAATATGCAATTGAGCAATGTTCAAACTTGCATACACTTCCAGAATAAACATTGGATAGAGCAAGGTTAGAAAAATGGGGATATCTCTTTGTATCCATCCATAAATCTGTCAAAAGCAATCAAATAAAAAGCAGTGTTACCATATTAAATGTTATATTAATCAGGCTATTAATGATACATGGACATATCACTTGGTAAAAACCTTCAAAATATAGAAGAGGAGATTTCTGGCTGACTGTTGAAAAAAAACTTAAGGCTGGCCCTGTCCCAGGATCTCAATGTCTGCCCACCAGCACTGCTCAATCTCACTGTGAAACATGTTGTATCTTAGTTAGTTAGCAGTGACTTCCTAATTTACACTTTGGCGCATTAGCTATAAGCTTCCATATGCTATGGACAGAGGCAGGCTAGCTGATGCCCCTTGTTTTCGTGCTAAGCTATGCTCACCAGCTGCTAGCTACAGCTACATTATGAGCAGAAAAAAGGGTGGTGTTATTCTTGTTAAAATCCAACCCCTGGCATAAAACAAATTAGTTATTTCCAAATGTGTGACTATTCCTTTAAGACATAAATACCACATTAGAAATCCCAGCAACAGCAGATCCTGCTCCAGCCACTTAGCTTTAAACAAACATTGTAATGGAAACATACATCATAAAAAGCTGAGCACACAATCACAGGCACACTGGAAAAGCTGAAAGTCTGCACATACTTAGGTTGAACTTTTCTTGAAGGTTTCATCAAACATTGATTGGGGCAGCAAAAAACCGATGGATTAAATTAAAAAATCAGGGAAATACATCAAGAGGTGGTCTGACCTTAAGCCCTGAACATAAATTGACTCTCTACTCTCTCATTGATATTCTGTCATTCAAACCTCTGGGCTGACTCAGCTAAGACTGGGCTAAATATATATTTTTTAAAAACTCACCTAGCTTTGAGGTTAAGATTTCTGTTGGTTACCCACCTCACGAAAGTGTCCGTTAGATAAGAGTCAGAAGGTGTTTTCTTTTAAATTAAGCTCCATGCTGTTACACTGCTGCGAGGAAGCTGAGCTGTGTTAGTTTTTCTCAGGGCTTTCTGCCGCTGTTGGACAGGGTTGTGTTTTGTTAGCCTGAGGCCATGAATTCCCCAGCAGAGCCGTGTGTGTGTGTGTGTGTGTGTGTGTGTGTGTGTGTGTGTGTGTGTGTGTGTGTGTGTGTGTGTGTGTGTGTGTGTGTGTGTGTGTAGGTGTGTAGGTGTGTAGGTGTGTTTATGTGTGTGTAGTGAGAAAGGGAAAGAGAGACAGGATGAGTGTGCAGCATGGCCGGCACATTGCACCATCACCTGGGTGTGGGAGGCCTGACAAGAGGGAGATTGAGGAGGAAGAGGGTGAAGTTTAGGATTACGTCTAAGAAAAACGTCCATGAATGGAAGTATGTATGGTGCTGGATATACAAATACATTCCTTGGCTCACATGGGAGAAACAATGAGTCAACCTAGAGAGATACTGTACATAGTACAGATTGCTACATGTCCTTGGACGGAATTGCAAAATCTGTTTGTCAGCTATTTTAGAAAACAACAAAGAAAGACATTTGACCTCCAGTCTACTTCTTGTGTGTGAGACCTGATCTTTGTCTAGTTTGAATTCTAACACCTAATCACTAAAACACAGAAAAATGGGGCATTGAAAACACTGTAATTTGGACTGAAACACAACAGTTTCCAATGGAGTCATTTGGCAATTATTTCCTTATAAATTCTTCTTCCGTAAATATACTTTAGATTGTTGTTAATGTCACGTGTAAATTGCTAGAGGAGATAATAAAATAATGTAGTTAAACGTATTGCTTAACAAAGGTTTTAACATGTTAAATCTGGCAAATTTAGGGTCCCTCATTCGAGAGCTGCTCCTAAAGGTTCCTCTTACACTAACAAGGAGTAAGCTGCTTCATAAATGTGTCTTATTGCTCTCACACAAGAACACGTAAACTCATAACTTTGCTTTCATTAAGTGTTTGTTGAGGAAAGTGTGATAAATATGGGTCAAAGTCTGGTGTTTAAAGTTGCCAGCAAATGCTTAGTAAGATCCAGGGTCTTGGTTACTTATTCTTTAATCAGGTATTTATGTATTAAATTAATAATTTTGCCATTCTCATACTGTTTCTTGTTCAATTGTTTTGCAGCTACTTGTATTTTGGCTGACATTTATAATATGAGAAGTTTGGCTTATTTTGCTGAATATTTCATGAAGTTCTTTTTACAAATCAGTTGGACAAATAAGGCATGTTTTTGGCATCGTGCAATGCTGCTGTAATTCAGTTGGACAATAATGTTGTAGTTATTTTTTGGAGTAGGACAGTCTTGTCAACAACAAAAGCCCATCATTCAATTCACTGACGGCATGAAGTCCTTTCTTCTACGTGTTTTTAACATCCCTCTAGTTTTTTTTAGGTGAACAAAAGAGACACTTTCCAGGCACGCAGTGATGTTGCTTCTCTCCACACTGTCATGCTGGCACTTGAGTTGTTATGGTAACGACTGTTCCCGAGGGAGATTTTTATCACAAAACTGAAACCAAGGTGGAGTGAACGAAGCCTTTCAACACTCACAAACACTGCAACGGGAATATTCAGCACCCAAACATTTGTCTAGATGAGGAGTTATTACTGCTCATTACTGCTGCCACTCTTCCCTAGCTTAATTCCTGTTTCTTATTCAAAACATACAGTCTCTATGAGGTGAATGACAGGGACTGATACAGGATGACAAATTGTGAAAAATGAGATTACAATTCCACAGCAGCTGGCAGGAGAAGCTTCCACTTTCAACAAGGCTGTACATGAGAGAGAGAGGACATCAATACATTTCAAGCTGTTTATGACAACGGATGTTCGCTTACTGTAGATATACTTTGATATCTATAGCTGCAGCAAATAATACTGGATTAAATATAGTATTCTGTAAATATAACACAATTCTGTAGTTCTGTATTGAGAATGTATCACTTTTCTGGGGGTTTTTCCATTGTAAATTTGATATATTTATGTCCGACAATTATATTTGTTCAACTTGGAAACGTTTCCCTAAGTATGTATGTTTGCAAATCCAAACCTAAAAAAAATGTATTCAAATCTCAGCGATTCAATTTAAAACATGTTTTGTTTATGTTTGTTCTGTAACATGTCAACTACTTAGTGGAGAAAAGTCAATCGTCATTGTTTTTGTATATCTGAAAAGTCCAGTGTTGTGTAACCCTGTTCTCTCTTTGTAAACTGCATAGTAGTGAAAATGAAGACACAACATCCTTGACAGAATCTGTCATGACATGCAGTCATGACTGTAATTCCAAAATAAGTGTCATCAGATAGTGTGTGTGGGCATTGTGTCAGCAACATCAACTCTCAGAAATCAAATTACACAGATACTACCTATATAAATAAAGTAGCTTTAAACCACACTGAATTAAGCTTATCTCACAAAAAGGATGTTTTTGAGACAAAAATGCCCATAACCAGTATATCTCCTGAATGTCAGGCCATTGTTAAGAGACAGTTTTCCCTAATAAAGACAGAATGAGGGCAGTAGATAAGGGAAAAGGGTTTTCCTGGTAGGTTCTTGTCAACACAGGCAGGCATTTAGCTCTCTAAACAGTGCTGTGCTCAGAGGGTCTGCACACTGCACCGTCATGACCCCAGGCACTGGAATGTGGCTGCTGCTGCTGCTCCACCTGCACAGACTTGCTGTAATAATGAAATGTTCTCCCTTTTTCTGGGGAGAGAATGGCAGCTAGCTAGCTCTTTACATTGTGCCATTATAAACACTACCACTACCATGAGAAAGAAAATACAAGTATTCAAGCTTAAAAGCCAAGTTTGACATCCAAAAACTTCCATTATCCCACCAAGACTGGAAATAAGAGTGGAGGAAAAAACGTGCTTTTTACAAACAGCAACTACCTACACTTTTTTAATTCGTGAAGTTGCTGTAATGCCTGCGTATACGTTTTTGCCGTTAACCTCTGTACAAGTGGGCCCATTGCAAGCAGCTGTGTAAATTGTAAAGCTCACCTCAGCAGAAGTTGTAAATCCCTTTGCTGTAATAAACATAGCCTAAGCGTATATTAATATTTCACCTTACCTGATTCTGGTGTAATTCTTGTAGGGATAAAAGCCTTGCAGAAAGTGTTATTGCTCTCGAGAGTCCGGGCCTGACAGATTGTCTCTCCGTAGTCGAGCAGCAGGCGGCGGCAGGTGGCCACTCCCTCACCTTTGCAACTCTGCGGTAAGGTGGGCCCACTTCCGTGTTTCTTGAATCTCGTGTCTTAAGTTTATGGCTGTCTGTTTAAGTTTTCAAACTTTTCCAAACTTATTTTTGTATCTGTTTCTCGTCTGAGTCTGAGTGTCGCGCTTTTTCGAACGCACGAGCGATTTAGTTGTAAATGTCCTTGCTAGTTGCAAAACGCTCAAAAATAACTAGTTTTCCTATTTTAAAATAACGACTTTAATTACCACTAGTTAACTTATACACCTATCTAGTCCAGCTTTAGGAGGAATATGTCACATTGTTTGAGTTTTAATTTAAAGTTTTGGTTTGATTTTTACCTAACCTTACAACATGTTTCCTCTATTTTCAGTCGTCGTTATCACTGAAAACTGTTATTGGGTCTACAGTGAAGTAATTACACCGACTAAACAGCAGATGGCACTACATGCTAGTACAAAGACTAATACAACAGGACTTGTTAACTAACTTTAGATGCCTTCTTTGAATTTTTCATAGATCAATAAGAATTTCAAGGGATGTATACAAATAACAACAACAATTTTCTAATTTTTAAATCATAAAATGTTCATAAAACTTTATTAAGAGAACGTAATTTGCAGCAAAAACACAGTTAACGTATGATATATTCAATGCAAATGTTAAAACAAACAAATCTCAAAAATACAAGAAAGTCCAACAAATTATTCCTTGATGAATACATGATATACACACACACACACACACACACACACACACACACACACACACACAGTTTTTATATTGCCAAGCAATTCTGACTTAGTTCCAGATACTAAAAGTGGAATTGGATAGAATGATGTCTGTATGAATACAAGTTGACAATGTATAAGCAGTTTCTTTATTCATCATTCCAAATCAACAGATTATTTTCATCATGTTTGTCCAAATTGTATTTGTCACTGTAGGCCTATAACAGATCACCCAAAGTTTCACATTTTTACAAATCGCAAAGAAAGTATCCAGTTTTATACAAACAAAATATTTGTTCTTTTTGTTATACAACATATTCACATTAACAAACATTTGTGATGCAAATGTAACTTTTGCAGACTCAAGACAATAACGTTGTGTAGTTGTTCCCTGGAGTGTCTCTCTGTTTCAATTCATTCAGGTTGTGCTTTGAATTTTGAAACAGCATATAATGAGAAACATACAACCAAATGAGAGTAATCGTTATGCAATGTAAAATGTCTTTATTTTTAGACTTGTCAGAGGCATCTTTATTCATGCAGACCTTCCTTTCTCTCCTTGTAGCATCCAGCACCGCTTTCTATGCCAGAGGAGTTTGGAATAGCTGTGTGGAGCTGCGACAGCTGTGATGCAGTTCAAGTCTGGGTCAGACCGAGACCAAACACGGCCCAGCACCCAGCGGGCCGGAGCGGTGTCAAGGGCAAGAATCCACAACAGGTGCCTGTCAAGCTCGGCTGTCACACAGTAGCAGGCACGGCCCTGCGATGGTAAGCTTCAGCAGTTACAATGGTTTCACTGTTTGCTTCTCTATGTGATCATTAACACTGACATTTTGAGACCACTCTTGCCCTGAAACTATCAATTCCTTACCATCCCATCCCCGTCCTCCCCCACTCGTTCCCCATGTTGGACGCCATTTCCCTGCCAGTATTTAGAAACATAAACTGGGGGAACACAGGTGGCTTTTGTGGCATGCAAAGCGTCTCTTGTCCAGGGAGACTGAGGTGTCGAGGGAAAAGTATCAGATATGTTATGGCAGCTTATAATATGATTCACTGTTATTCTAGTCACTCTGTCATCGTGGGTGTACATCGTGATGACAGAACGAAAAACATTCAGCAGTATCAGACTACACAGTTATGTTTTGTCTGATGTTTTGTTAATTTGGTAGCCAAGTCCAGAGAGAAACTTTTTTTTATAGCTGGAATGACCAGTTATCAGATACTTGAACTTGAATTTGCATATAGGGGCAAGTATCTCTAAGTGCATTGGTGGAAAAAGTAGACCTACTAGGATCCTATACTGTTATATACATTACGATGTACACTGCTCTTAATAGTCTTTCAGTCTTGTTTTGGAACGATCTTTGTCTGCTTAGCGCTTCTCATCACAATACTTGGTGATGTGTCCACCATTTTCGTACCTCCCTTTTGGATGTGTGCTTACTATGGCATCTGTCCTTTCCCTACATTTTAGGGGTAGATGTTTTTTATAGAGGTTTAAGCCCAGAAACGTCACAAACCCAGCCACATTTGAGTGTTTCTGCACATTGAGGCACCGATGATTGAGAGCGATTACTTTTTATCTTTACATAGTTTTTTAGTACAATCCCACTCATTACCCCTTTAAAATGCGTTGTAGTTGGTTGCAGTTCTGTCTCCCTCCACAAGAGGATTCATAACACAAATGATCTGATGATGCATAAAATAGGGGTTGTCATGTTTGAAAACCTCGATGAATGTCTTTATTCTACCACTGAGACACTTTGGCCCAGAAGAGCAAATATTGCTATTAAACCTGCCGGAGACACTTTCAGGGTTGAACCATTTAGAATAATTTTTAGAGGCTGTTCTTTTGATGAGGGATGAAGTGGTAAAAGCTCTGATGACTCCCACTCCTGTGGAAGCACAACACCCTCATAACCAAAGTCCCCACCCGAGGGCTCACTGTGCAAATGGATGTCATGCTATGCTTTGATGTTACAAGTCTTCTCCCCCCCCCCCCAACTCCTACTAACTCATTATAGAAATCTTTGCCCCACCTTCTGTCTGTTTAATGATGTCTACAATATTTATCTTTCCCCTGATGGTCATTAAGTCCACATTCTTCGAGTGGTGACCTCTTCGGTCTAAACTTTGTTGACATCACTTCTCTGAGTAATGGTTAGCCATGGCGTGTTCTCTATTTGCTCACCTTTTGACTCTTGGAACGGACACCTGCAAGACAAAAGAGATGGGAGAGCAGAGCGCTGAAGGAGAAACGGGGGAGTTATTTGCATTGGGTAGCAGGTGTGTAGGTCTTGTGTGTGTGTGTGTGTGTGTGTGTGTGTGTGTGTGTGTGTGTGTGTGTGTGTGTGTGTGTGTGTGTGTGTGTGTGTGTGTGTGTGTGTGTGTGTGTGTGTGTGTGTGTGTGTGTGTGTGTGTGTGTGTGTGTGTGTGTGTGTGTGTGTGTGTGTGTGTGTGTGTGTGTGTGTGTGTGTGTGTGTGTGTGTGTGTGTGTGTGTGTCCTGTAAAGGAGTGGTCATTGAATCCCAAGCAGACTCAGCGGGGGTCAGCAGTGCTCACCGAGGTGTGAAGTGGCCCGGGCCAGGAGTGGATTATAAAGCCTGGGCTGCATTACAATAGAGGTGCGAAGCAGCAGGGGCCCCGCATTACAGCTCAGCAAACAGGACAAGATGCAGCTGAATGTCCCATGCGTATCCTTAAAGAGGTAGTGTGAAAAGAGAACTTTTGTTTTAAATGATATACAATTAAGACTCCTGGAGGAAAGAATAAAGGGTCACAGTGGTGGTTAAATGGAAGTAAAAGCATTAAAAACAGCAGGTCATTAAAGACAGGTTAGACTGGAAACTACACAGGTTAGACTTGATAACATCAAAAAAGGCTATTAGGATTTTCACAGAGACTTCCAAATGTTGTGGAGATGTAGTGTTTAGAGATAAGCCTGCTTAACTATATGTAGCTGATTCTTTTGTATAGGCAATATGCTAATTATTTACCTGAAGTTACAAAATTAATGTAAAAAACATTACTTTTAGTCTGATTTTCAGTAAAATATAAAGCCTTATCTAAGATAAAATGGTCCAAGATAAACTTTACTGATCCCATGCAATGGCGTTTAGAATGATCAACACAGATACATAGCATAAAGAAACTTTACAGTAAGTTAAAAAACAGAATACTATGCACACTACATATACAAAACACAAATAAAGCTTGAAAATACTACCAATAAACACTATATGCTATTCTATATTGACACAAAGTCAAATCAAATGCGGTGAAAGGAAGACGCATTAAAAAAAACTGTTGCTTGTTTTACTATAACTTAACAAAAGATTTGGAAAGATAGATTCTCATAAGTTTCTGTACTAGAAATTGTATTTTCAAAATGTTAACTGAAACTATAAAGAACAAAATGAGCTCGGTTGACCGGCGGCGATGGGTGATAGTTCTCTGTGTAGTTTGTAACTACAATATTGCATGATAAAATATTTATTTTAGCCTTTTTTTATTAAGAAACTGCACACTAAGTTTCAATAACATTTTAAGAATGCCACTGCTGCGTATACATGACGTAAGCAGGGCGTTGATTTAGTTGACATATGAGATTTTTGTTGGGTAGCTCGCACTCAAATTAGGTTTAAATTCCAGGTCCTACACCTGTTATAAATGCCTGGATATGTAGTTATTTTTGGCGTGGTAACATAAAGCTTTCTGGTTACACAAAGCCACCGCCCTCTTCAGATCTTTATTTCACTTTCCAGTGACACCACAAGGTCAGTGGTTTCCCTCAGAGTCATGCAAGTTCACTGACTGTAACATAGCAATACAAAGACATACTGTATAGCTCCAAATAGACTAGAGATGTTTTAATGGGAGATAACACATTTACCTGTCACCCCCATTCTCCTTTGACACAATCTGAATGAGGAATTTGTGGGATGTGGTCCAGTGTGAGTGTATTCAGGGAGTGTGGGGACGCGTACAAAGGGCAGTGATGGCATGGCTGGCATGCTTCACTGGATTTCATGAGCGTCAGCTGCCGATGGCATCAGATGGTGTAATAACATGACAGAGGTCAGTCCTCGTAGTGGTCTACTGGGACACATTATTATGGCAGTGGCCTAATGGGGAGGGGGGGTGTTGTTAGGTTGTTTGTGTGCATCTGTGCAACGCCGTTTATCGTAAATAGACAATGTTATTAGCCAATTTTTA